AGACAAAGCTAAAAACGAAAACAAAAGATATACACTAGAAAGCCTAAGAATACAACAACGAATTGACAGATCCATAAACACGAAGGAAGACAAAGACAATACTAAGCTTCAGTATTCAATTGCAATAACCTAAAACACCAGTTCTGTGATATATTTATTTATTTATTAACTGTGATTTTATTTATTTTATTATTTAATTTATTATTTATTTTATTTAAATGTTGTGGAGTCCCGTTTTTTTAATTTAAGTAAATAATAAACAAAATGAAAAATAATTAAAGTAAGTTAAAAAATAAGTGCAATATATATTGAAAAGAAATTATAATTTTTATTTTGTCAATAGATCAATAAAAAACGCTCTTGAAAATGTTGGAAAAAAGCCAACGAAACGTCGAGCAAAATATGAAATAAAAGCCAGTTTTTATTTTCATCAAACACCTGACCAAAAAAGCCCAACAACAAAGTATCAATGATTAATAAAATTACAAAAATTGGTCAATAACATACAAAAAAAAAAAAAAAATTAAGTTTTCGGTCCACATCAGTCCAAAATTATTATCTGATCATCACCACAAATTATAGGTGTTGTCCTTGACCATAACTGGAACCTTATGGAGCGCTATAGTTCCGCGCTCTGGAGTGATAATGGGTTACTAAATAATATACGAATACGGAGATACCTGTAAATATTTAGGTGTAACTCCCACATCCGAGCACATACATCAATATAATTGGTATTAATTTAAAGGTCAACCACTACTCGTGGATATAATATCAACTTCTCGGATCTATGTCATTCAGGGGTAAATATATACGCTATAGAATACAAATTTTGTCATTTTTCACACAAAAGTCAGGGTCCATTTGACCCGCTAAATATTGACCGATCCCCTTCTCCATGCAAAATTTCACGATGTTCGGGCCATTATTGCGGCCTCTGGAGCGACCAGAAAAACCGACAAAAATTTAGTATTTGGTCCATTTCATCCCCTAAATATTAACCGATCTTTCCCAAAAACAATAGGGGTCTTCATTGGCCAGAACCCATCCTACAAGCAAAATTTCGTGAAGATTGGTCCATAACTGTGGCCTATATCGTGTTTACAAATTATAGTGGACAGACGGACGGACACACATGTCTAGATCGACTCAGCTAGTCGAGATATGACGATCGGTATACTTAAAGGTGGGTCTAGGACCAATATTTCGCGGTGTTACAAACATTTGGGGCTGCACAAAGCTATAATACCCTGACAACATAGTTGTGTAGGGTATAATTAATTAAAATAAGAAACATACGAGGGATTTAGTTGCTCCACTGCCCGACAATAATGGATACGGTGTCCATCATGTTCTAATGGTATTTTTCCATTCCCCAGAAGCCATTGCGAACCTTACCAATTGCCGGTTAAATGCTTGCAAAAAAACTTATTTTCTGAACATCTGTATAGAACTGTAGAAAAATTCTGAATATACAATTACAAAAATTTTAAAATATGTACAACGAGTTCAAAACATTTCTTAAATGTCTATATCATGTTTTAGCTTATCGAAAGTTTCTAAATATGCTTATCATTTACAACCACAAAATTCAAATGCATAATCTAGAATTGTATGTTTCTTATTTTATTTACCCACAATGCATGAGAAAAGTAAATAGAGTTTTGAGTTATATTTGAAAATTGTTTGATTGGTGCCAAAACTATTGCGGAAATATAAGAATTGTAAACATATATTGATAGAGAACCATATAAGTTTATCATAAAACAAGTGAAAACGATGTTAAGTACCGGCCGAACTTGTATACCCTCCACCAAGGATAAAACTCATGATATGATAGGACCATGAACATACCGAAAAATACGTGAGAAAAATATCATTGAAATTCTAAAAAATATCTAATAGTGGGGCAATCGTTATATGGGTCCATAATAAAACGGAGATCAATATTGATATTTTTAGTAGTGAGATTTGGCAGCCAATGAGAGAACACAAAATACCAAATTACAGTAAATTCGATTGAAAAACGTGTCCAAAGTTCTCAAAATACCGACTTGGGTTAATATTAATAATTTTTTAGTGCGTAGAGGTGGTGGTACCGTTATAAGAACTCAAAATATTAAATTACAGCCAATTTGATTGAAAAAAGTGTAAATAATCCCCACATTAGGGGGTACTGTATTATGAGGCTACCGTTAAAAGTGTATCAATATTAAAAATGTGCTATAATAAAATATTAAAAATGTGGTATAACAATATATAATGTGCCCAAAATTCAAAATTACAGCCAATTCGGTGGGAAAACGTGTACATAAACGCAAAATACCGAATATTATGGGGTACTGTTTTATGGGTGCTACACCAAAACGTGGAACGACATATCCCATTAGCAATACCAAACATTCTAGGAGAACTAGCAATGTCTGTGCAAAATTGCAGAGCTCTATCTTAAATATTGCGACCTGTATTGTAACTTCAACCGACAAGCCGTATTCACATAGAATTTTAATCCGCTTAATAATATATACTTTGTGGGTTCTTCGATAAATATTTTGAGGTGTTGCAAACGGAATGACAAATTTAATATACCCTCCATCATATGGTCGAGGGTATAAAAATGAATGAATCGATCGCGACAAATGTACATCGATGAACTTAAATTTAGTTTGCAAGCCCTATCCCTGTGAAAAACTAGTTTAATGAATCTAACGAAATTTGCACGTGAATTTGTCAAATGGGCGACTGTTCTACTTAAGTAATTTAGGGCGGCTAGTTCTGAGTGGCACACCACAATTTGTTTGCCTGAAATCTTCGGAAAAAGTCGAAAAACGTACAAGAATAGACAAATCACAGTGAAAAATTGACGACTAAAATCAGTGCCTTTATGGGGTATGTCTTTCAGGAGTAAATATATACGCCCCAGAACACCATTCTTTTAATTTTTCACACAAAAGTCTGGTTGCATTTGACCCGTTAAATATCGGCCGATTATCATGAAGAGAGACATGGTTGTTCCTTGGTTAGATATTTGGGTTTTCTTTGACCGGAAAGGAACCGACATGCAAAATTTTATGACTATAGGTCTATAACTGTGGCCTTTATCGCGTTTACAAATTATAATGGACAGACTGACGGTAAGGAAAAACCTAGGAAGGTAAGGAATAACCTAGCATAAACATGAATAAATGTATTCAGTTTCGAAATTGAAAGCTTTTGTGTTTTTGGCAATATTGCTGTTTCTCTTTTTATAAGTTTGTAACGCCGCGAAATATTGGTCCTAGACCCACCTTTAAGTATACCGATCGTCATATCTCGACTAGCTGAGTCGATCTAGACATGCGCGTCCGTCCGTCGGTCTGTCCATTATAATTTGTAAACACGATACAGGCCACAGTTATGGACCAATCTTCACGAAATTTTGCATGTAGAATGGGTTCTGGCCAATGAAGACCCCTATTGTTTTTGGAAAAGATCGGTTAATATTTAGGGGATGAAATGGACCAAAAACCTTATTTTCCTGTTTTGATAAAGATCTGTCAATATTTAGCGGGTCAAATGGACCCTGACTTTTGTGTGACAAATGGCAAAATGTATTTTCTATGACGTATATATATACAAAAAGTTGATAGTATGTTCAAGAGGAGTGGTTGACCTTTAAATTGATACCAATTATATGGTCGTATGTACTCAGATGTGGGAGCTACACTTAAATAATTACAGGTGCTTACGTATTCAGACATTATTTGGTAACCCAAACCACACTAGAGGGCGGAAATATAGCGCTGATCGCTTTGAAAATTTCCATGAGATGCCAGTTATGGTCAGGGACAACGCCTATAACTTTCGGTGAGGATCAGATAATTTTGGGATGAAGTGGACCGAAAACTTTTTTTTTTTTGAGTCGATCTATAGGCCACAATTGAAAGCCAAACATCACAATTTATTCTAATTTATATAATTTATTCTAACATTTAGTGTTGTGATTTTGTAAACGTTTCTCGAGTGTGTGTGATTGTTATGGTGATATTTTTGCCAAATCTATGTTTTATAATCTTGTTTGTTTGTTTTGCACTAATCGCGTATTTTGGCGACCCACACACAATTGTTCTGCTTGCAATCCCATTTAGGTAGCTGTATTAGGAGTTTTGGACATGTTGACGCGATAAGCTGTTTGTTTACACAATAAAGGAATAGTATGATGATTGCAAATGTCCTGTAATCACAAAGCAGCCAAATATGTGGTTAAGAAGCCATATATAGCATCTCATGAGATGTATAGCATCTCATGGAAGATCAACACATATTCTTATAGACGACCAAAGACAGCTCTTGTTGAAGAAGAGATTTCCTTATAACAGACCAAATGAATTCCTAGTGGTTATCTATAAGAAGTCTTCTATAAAAGAAATGTTGGTATTCTTTCTTTGAATATGTTTGTGGTTGATAGGAAAATAATATGTGGATATTGTGATCTTTAAGAGGCATTTTGGTCTTCTATAAGATGTTATGTTTAACCACATGTAAATTACAGGACATTTGCAATCAAAACAATGTGCACTTTGGATATTTGACCTGCCATTGTGTAAACAAACAGCTTATCGCGACGGCGACATGTCAAGGGGTTGCTTATCCAGCTACCTACTTGGGATTGCAAGGAGAAGAGTTGTGTGTGTGGGTCGCCAAAAATACGCGATAGATGCAAAACAAACAAACAAGATCATAAACTAGGGTTACATAGATTTGGCAAAAATAAAACTGATAACAAACAAACAAGAAACCCTTACAAAATGATAAACACAAATTTCAGTATATATGTCGGTATTGTAACAGGAAGAAGGCATAGTCGAACAGCAGACATCACAATAAGAACATCAGAAAATTTACATTTTCATTTTAAATTTCAAAACTAAGAAATAAACACTTTCAAAATAAAAAAATATTTTTAAAATTTTAAAGAATTCTCAAGATTAATATTAATTATTTAAAAAATAATTACAACCATGTCATTGATTATTAACGAATCCTTCGAATATCAACACAAGAAATTCAATCATGGCAAGAGACCCAGAGATGATGGCAGCAGTAACAGTTCACAAAGTGGTGACGATGAAGACCAACTGTATATTGATGTCGAAACGGTGGAGGAGGAGATACCCAATACATACAATTACCACGAATCCGAAATGTCAACAACAACAACATCAACATCACCCTACAAACGGCCACGCACAGAATCATTTGGCAGTACTACATCCTATTCGGCCTTCTCGCCATTACCACCACCAACAAGAGTCGCAGTGGAACGTCACACCTCAACACCATATATGACGGACAGCAGCAGCATCAGCCCTAACGCACTCGAACCCACTGCTGCCATTTTGCCAAAAATCAGCACTGAAACTTTGGCCAGTATTTGTAAATATCATGGAAATATGGTAAGGAAATTCCCCAAGAAGCAACGGACACCCAAGGAACAGGAGAGACGTGACAAAAATACCATTGCCTGTCGTATGAGTCGCCGTGTCAAGAAACTGGAACATGTCGCGATTGAGGAACAATATAAGGAATTCACACAGCAGACTTTTGAAATTATTGAACAGGCTATGAGATCCACGGTGTATTTACAGGAACTAATGAAACTCTCAAATGCTATTGGGAATGTGGAGATGACGCATGGTATCTTTTTCGATATTAAAAGAGAGGAAGGAAGTGCCACGCCTGAAAAGAAATCATTTTCCATTGCATATCTGGTGGGAAATGAGGAGTAAAATGTGTATACATTAATTTATTTTTAAGATAGTTGTTTCAAGAAAAATAATTATTATCACTGTGTGATATATGTTGATGTAATAATATTTTAGTTATAGTTAAAATTGTGATGAAAAATAAATATTTATAAAAATTAAATCCAAAATAATTGTCTTATTTAATAAAAAAAAATACCCATGATACCCAAATAACTTCCACGAAAATCTAATTTTCTGTGGTACTACATTCTAAGCTTGGGCAATATTTCGCGATATTTGCACCCTCCTGACCGACTAAAGGTTAACAAATATTGCTAATATTCAGAACAGCTCTTCTAATTACTTGTCCAGATTGCCATCTCCGTGGGTTGTGTTGTAATGTTTCAAATGTGGCTTATAGTTCAATTGAGAAAAACACAAAAAAAATAAATTTTCGGTTACCCTAATCCCAATATTATTATCTCATCATCGCCGAAAATGATAGGCGTTGTCCTTGGCTATACCTGGATTCTCATGGAAAAATTTCAAGCGATCAGCGCTATATTTCCGCCGCCTAGTGTGGTAATGGGTTACTAGGTCCTTCAGGGGTAAATCTATACGCTACAAAATACATTTTTTTTAATTTTCACACAAAATTCAGGGTCCATTTGACCCCCTTATTCTTTGTTCCGATGCCTTTCTCCATATAAAAATTTCCGATGTTTGGGCCTCTGGAGCGACCAGACAAAAAAGTTTTTGGTCCATTTCATCCCCTAAATATCTTCGATCTTTAACAAAAACAATACAACAATTGGCTAGAACCCATCCTACATGCAAAATTTTGTGAAGATTGGTCCATAACTGTGACCTGTATCGTGTTTACAAATTATAATGGAGAGACGGACGGACACACATGTCTAGATCGACTCAGCTAGTCGAGATATGTCGATATGTATACTTAAAGGTGGGTCTAGGACCAATATTTCGTGGCGATACAAACTTTTGGGGATGCACAAAGCTATAATACCCCGACAACATAGTTGTGTAGGGTATAAACACAGTGGCTCAGTTAGACCTTGAAAAAATTTTCTTAAGACTTAAAAAACTTTTATATCCCATGCCTCGGATAAGACTTAAAAAAAGTTAATAAAAATCCAGTGGCTCAGATTGGACTTGAAAACTATTCCTAAATCTCCAGAGGTTCGAAAAAATATTCTTAAAAGTCTGGTGGATCAAATATGCGTAAAATATATTCTTAAAAAACTTTAGATTTTTTTGAAGGCAGTTAAAGGTGCGAAAAGCGTCTGCAGGGCAATCCGCTGCAGGGCAATCCGCTTGTCCTTAATTTTTTGAAATCTATGCCACTCCTAGGGCTGGTATATGTCCTTGATTTTTTTTAATCAATGAACTTCCTAGGCCTTGTATATGTCCTTGATTTTTTTTCAAATCAATGCACCTCCTGGGCCTAGTATATTTCCTTAATTTTTTTTTAATGTATGCCTTGTATAGGTCCTTGAAAAAATATTTTTTAAAAAATCCACGCCTTGTATAGGTCCTTGAAAAAATATTTTTTAAAAAATCCACGCCTTGTATAGGTCTTTGAAAAAATATTTTTTAAAAAATCCACGTCTTGTATAGGTCCTTGAAAAAATATTTTTTAAAAAATCCACGTCTTGTATAGGCCCTTGAAAAAATATTCTTTAAAAAATCCACGCCTTGTATAGGTGCTTGAAAAAAAAATTTAATCGACGCCTTGTATAGGTCCTGAAAAAAGTATATTTTAAAAATCCAGGCCCTTTATAGGTCCTTGAAAAAAATATTCTTTATAAAGTCAATGCCTTGAAAATGTAATTTTTTTTAATCTACGCTTTTTATAGGTCCTTGAAAAAATATATTTTAAAAATTAGAAGATCAAATTTTTATAGAAGACTTCTTCATTTGGAGACCATAAGACTTTAATGGAGGATCAAAAAGTGTTCTTATTGAAGTCAAATTTTGTTCTCGTTTAAAAATGCATAGGGGAGGACTACAAGGTTTGTTCTCCCACACTCTTCGCCCTAGATTGTCTCTTTAATTGCTCACCTTACAAAGTATTGAACTTGAAAATTGATTTGTGAAAACATATCGAATAATAACAACAACAACAACAGATTCTGAATAAATTAAATCGGAAATTCTAATTGATCCATTAGCTTATAATGTATTGTCGTGTTGAGATTAAAATAAAAATTGTTAACTACAAACTAGTGATTAGCTATTTCCAATTTTCTAGCAACTAAAAAAATTCGTAGTTACTGCGAGTGAGGTACTAGACATTGGGTATTGAAAAAAGTAACACAAACTCAAGTATTTTGTCAACAAAAACCAATTCAAAAAAAGTTTCGAAAAGCCATTATTATCGAAATCAATGAAATGTGACCAAAAGATTAAATGGGAAGCGGTGATTGAGTAGAACATGAATGAAAATGAAACCGAAAACGGAAATAAAAAAATTACAAAAAAAAAATAGATTTTTAGAAGATGTTTTAACTTTCAATAAAACTATTAAGAAATAATTTTAAATATTCAAAAAAATGTAAATTAATTTCCAAAGTTTTTTATTTTAAAATGTAAATTTTATTGACTGGGCATTTCCACGTATTGAAGTTTCCCTTTTGATTTTTCCACAGAAAATCGGATTTTTTTTCAAGTTTCAAAAAGTTTGCACCTATTTTGTCCCCAAAAATTGTGTTTCAAAATTAGGGTTACAAAGTCAGACTAATTGACAAGAGAGACTATTATTATTACTTTTTTTCAAACTAACATCAACATTTGTGTTGGACCCTTGTCCGGCTCCAAATCATATTCACACGCTTTGCCAAAACCGACAATAGTTAATTAAATTTCAAAAACACAATTATGCAATTGTCGCAAACACTTGTTCGTTACAATTGTTTAACGAAAATTTATTGACACTACATATTATGCACATTAATTGTTATATTTTGTTAATTGAATATTTAGCACATAAAAATGCCGTGAACGCGTCATAATGTCTGTCGGGATAAAGATATTAAATTAAAAAAATATTCCAACAACTGACAATTTGCAAATAAGCCAATTAACAGAGTTGCGCATCATAAAATAGCTGGACAGAGGGAGCTAGAGAGACAGATTGCATGCGGCGGATGGGGGTGGAGGTGACTACAACAATAAAATAAAATACAAAAAAATTCTAATCGTGATTTAAGTTAACAACAACTCATTTGTTGGCTTTAGAACTTTGCAGTTGTTGTTTTGCTTTTGTTGTTTTATTTTGTTTGCCGCCGTTTGCAAACTGGCCATTGTCTTTGGCTTTTTATCATTGTTCTGGCTGTTTGCTTGCTGCCTTCAGCGGACGTCGTCGTAGCCAGTTAGAATATTTCACTGGATGACGTTTACGTCAACGTTGATGATACTATTGTAGCTGCTCATGATGATATTTCCTCTGTTTATTGTAAATAAATAGCCAACTGACCGTTACCTGGTAGTTCAGATGACAGTTAGACGTGTTTGAATACGGGTGAAAGTTAACCATAGCCAGTGTAAAGAAATTTGCAATATCCTAAGGATTTTTTAGTTAGAAATTAAAATTTTTCATAGAAACCAAAAAACAAAATGTTTGCAAAAAATAGTATTCTAATAATTGCGCTAACATTAAGCATTTGTAATGTCCTTTCGGCACCGGCTAATGATTTTCATGATGTTACCGCTTTACGTGAGTGAAAAATTAATAAGACAAAATAATAATATAAATTGTATATTAAACATAATAAACTGAAACAGGATGGAGTGTATATTACAAACAATTTTAAATGAAATAGCAGCATATCACCATGATAGTACAAAAAATCTTTTAAGTTGGTGTTCGTGTCTTAAGTCTTTTGTTTTAATTGAAGAATATGTCTTATGTGCTGGCGTAGCATTAAAACATTAATTAAAAATAATTATATATCAAAATAATAATTACCATTCAATTATTTAATATCTTGGATAAAAAAATATAAGATAAAATTTATCTGAAAATGGATATTGGAAGACGTTCAAGAAAAAAATGAAAGAAGAAGAGGAAACAATTTGTAGTATATGTGAATAACTTATATACACCCGAATCACATCGATAATTTGAAAATAGAAGGGTCCAACGAAACGGTGGAAATTCCCGAGTGTTTTAAAACATCAAGAGTTGAAAATGATATGAGTTTTTTTTTTTAATTTTCCCCAAACAATTTTAAAAAACCGAGATGTTAAAATTAAGAACTTTCAAGTCATGGAGTGTTGACGGCATCAATTATTCAATATTAAAACCTAATCAATAAAGAATTTTATGAGAAACCTGTAAGGAAAGTTCAAAAGACGGACAGGCCGACTATATGATACCCTTCGCCATTTTGAGTACATACAAAGAAATAACCATATTTACACTATCCTGTCGATAGAACAGATATAACAAACTTGGAGGATGTATATGTGATATGTTTATATCGTTTCAATCGATCAACATACTCCATTCTGGACACATTTCAATATGCTGCGCAAAATTTCGTCGCAATCGGACCAATCATGAGAGTTTGATGCACCATTTAAATCAAATCGGAAGGAAGTGTATATGGGACGATATCTAAATATAAACTGATTTTCACCGATTTCTATATAGTTTGTCCTTGGTCTAAATAAATGAGCTGTAACAAAATTCATCCAATTCGGATCATACATGCGAGCTGTTCTTTTTTACAAGAATACGGACGGACGTGCATAAATCGACTAAAAAAGTGATTCTATGCATAAGTATCTCGTTTCCTTTTGCATGCCACAAAAATAAGAAAATTTATTCAAAATATTTAATAGAGTTTTTGTAATACATTACAAACTATCGCAAAAATATTGGCCAAAAAAAGAGTTCTTGCAAAAATTATGGCAATAGACAATTTCAATGGATTTTTTTAATGAAAATTCGGATAGGACCAGGGATGGTCCGGTTTTCGACTGTCAAAAAGGTGTAAACGTCGAAAACGTCATATACC